AATTCATTTTGCCCTGGAGCCCTGCCCAGCTTAGCAGAGGTTACAAGGCAGATGGATGTTGCTCCATCTTTCAGAGTCATGCTTATGAAAAACCACACAGACCACCATCAACAGTGGAATGATTTTGGTTTTTTTTTCATTTCTCTCATGTCAGGAATTTAACTGCAGTTATGTATTTTTAGATTTCTAATGATGAAAGTCTTCACTGGAGAGGAGAAAAAGAAGAAATCTAAGATTTTAATTAGTTTTATAGTAATCAGAAGCATCATATATTGGTTTTAGAAGTATGTGCAATGATCACTATTTAATGCATTTCAATTTTCAAAAAAATATTCTAATGCATGTTAACCAATAAGTACTTTCTGCATCTTTTAAATTCTTTTACAAATGTGTTACATTGGTAGTGCAAGGTCAAGTAGGGGTACAGCTTTTTGTCTTTTATATGTGAATACTTGGGAGGTGTCTTAAAACTAGGTAGAAAAACATAATTGTTTTTTTTGAAATTCTAATCCAAATTACGTTTTCCCAATTTTTTTTTTCTACTGATCTAGAACTGCTAGGTAAGAACAATCATTTCCATGTTGTTTTCATGCTGTGTTAGACAACTGTGACAGAGAAATGTCTGAAAAATATTTTTCAGGCACAATTTCTTGATTTAGTGGCAAATTCGGAAAGATGCACTGCAGTAGTCCATTTTTCAAGTGTCCAAAAGACTGGCAATGTAAAATAATAAGAAAATGGTTACTATAGTGTCACCATTTTCTTTTGCTTGCTACTCTGCTTTAAGGATAGTTTAAAACTAGTACTAAGAGACTTAAATGAAAATTTGCTGAAATGTTGGCATATAAATTATAAGCTGTTGTCTGAGTGAATCCTATTAAAAAGAGCTGACTTTCATCTGGGAAAATGCTGATTAACAAGTGGCTATTTTTATTAGATTCAGTTCTAATTCTCTATTTTACAAATCTGTGGTAGCATCCAAAAACGATAAGAAAAAGTAATTCTATACATTTCAGACACTTGAATTAAAAAGTCCTATGCTAATAGGGGTGAATAGAGGACAAGTGACAGACAGAATGATCTTCATGAGCTTCTGTCTCCAAAGTCTTATACTCTTCAAATAAGAAATGTTGGGAGAAAATCTCTGTTCCTCTTTCCTAAGAGGATTGTTCTAACTGAAGCAGGCCACTTGAGGTGCAATTATCTTAAATTCACTAATCCAAGATGACACAATTTTCAATATTTGTGTGTAGCGCTTTAAGGCAGCTTTGGTCATGGTCACCTCACTGGTGACAGACTTTGTGTATTCTTGTGTTATTGCTTAGTGAGTTGTGGTTTCTAGATTGTTTTGTAACCCTAGCTTCCCTTGTGTCTGTGTGTGTCTCTGTTTCACACTGTCTCTCCCCCTCTTCTGCTTTGTACAGGTAATGATGAATAAACCTGACTCAGGAAATTCTTAGTGCTTACTACGCACCGGTGTCCAAAGTCCGCACAGCTGAACAGCAAATTGTAGTGGAGAATGTGACATTGAGCAGGAGAGGCAAGACTTCAAAAAAGAATGCTGATTGTATGAAAAAGAGAAAAAACATGCCTTTTAAACTGAGATATCTTTAGAGTTCTCTTGTGTGGATTTGTATACGTATTCCTTAAATATTAGGTGCCCAAAATTTTAAAAAACCCACACCAACCAACCAGCCAGCAACAACATAAAAATAAACAAAACCCAAAAGCCTCAACAAACCAAACAAAAAACCCCCAAACCTGTAACCTCTCAAATTTCAAAAGAAACAGAGAAAGAAATACCTGTATATATTCTGATGCAAAACTCAGACCTATAATTAAAACAGAATTTCTGCCATATGACTAGATAGCTGGTATGGTTGAACAGTTAGAAGCATTACTGTGTTGTGGAAGTACTTACATCCAGCTTTTCATTTACAAACTTCAAATAGCTTTTCCTTACACCTACACAAAGAAATTGCTTTGTTTTTATTGACCCTCATCGTTTTTTAATAGTATCTTAATCTAGTGTTCCAGTTCAAGCATTTCACTTTTATTGTATTTTGAAGCTGAAGGCTTCTGTCACATCTGAAATATCTTGATGGTGTTTCTTAATTAGGGCAAACTGGTACATAAGTCATCATTGAAATGTCTGGGGATGAGTTGGGATTGTAAAATGCATTTGGACCTAGAATATTTTCCAAAATTTTTCTTCTTATTTTTCTTCTTCTTCCCCTTTCCTATCCCCTTCCCAAAAATCCTAGTTGTTTACCTCTCCTAAATTTTGCAATCTGCTCAATAATGATGTACTACACTGTTGAGCTGAAAAGGGGAGGGGGTTTGCAGTTTGGCCTTGAAGTCTGAGTGTTCTAGTCATTGCTCCAGCAGCCACAGGGGAAAATTAAACATTGCAGCCACAAGTGCTGTGTAATATTTCACATCTTCTGGCTCCTGTATTGTACAGCTTGGTTTCCACCACCCTACAAGCAAAACCAGGTTTCTTCTGACACACATTTCCTCGTTCCTTGTTGAAGCAGTACTATACAGGGCAGACATTAGGAATTCTGTTGTTTTCCAGTCGTCATCTCTGCATCAGCTTTACTGGTTTATCCATTACAGTAAGTGTCTTGTTATGAATTTGATGAACTGTCAAACTTCCAAGTGCCCTATTGAAGAAAAATAGGTTTGGTTGCTTTTTTTTTCAGCTACAACCAGTCTCAATCTAAAATTGTCAAAACTTGGTTTTCCACAAAGTAAAAACAAGTATATATATATATATTTATTGTTTAAACTGTCAAAATATGTATATGTTTTTTGTATAATTGCTTTATGGTGTCATTATTAAAATTTTGCCCACTGAAAAGGGTTAAATTTTTTTAGATACCAAACTTACTCTAGTTCAGCAGTATCGTGGGAATCTGCGGTGAGAATAAAATTATTCATAATAAGAATTTAAAATTGCCTTTAATAGATTATTCTTTATATCCTTATTTCTTTGATAAACACCTCTTAGTTTATCTGATGAGAAACTATGATCAGTTCTTGGAAACAGTGTTGGTTCTGGGCTATGCTGGTTCTTTTCTCATTCCCTTTCCTTCTTTATTTCCTTTTTCTTAACTTCCCACAGTACACTTTTTACCAGGTTTCTCATCCATTTCACTTTCCACTGCTGCATAATCTGTTCAGAGAGATTATCTTAATGAGCTACATCACTCATGACTTTTAGCAAATGCACCCTAAAGACTGAATTATTTTCCTTTCTCAGGTTTGATTTTTCAAATCATACTTTGCCCACCTTTTGGAGGAAGGGAGGACTCAAAACCTTTAGATTTAAGATAATATAGAAAACAAAATGCACAACTGGTATATTCTGTCCTCTAGGGTTTTGAATCCTCTTAAGGTGTGAAGTCAAGGACTGGGCCATGTTCACTTCTTCTAAATTGAAATCGTGTCATTATTGACAGTCTTCATTTCTAATGCAGTGTACTGGCTTCCTTCTGGTGAGAAACGTGGCATAATGTACAGACAGCAAGATTTGCAAACAGAGCTTTTTACCAATTAATAATTTGAAAAATACATGTACATAGTGGGCAGCTTTTTAAGAATAATCTTCAAACCTGCCACTCAAGACTAAATATCCTTGAAATCCCTCAAAAGCTAACTTAAAACTGACACAGTAAATAAGTTTGTCAGCAAAAGAAATACTTTCATCTGAAATGTTAAATCCATATTTAATGTATTCTATAATGACATCAAGACTGGTGTGGCTGCAAGATAATTAATTGGTCTGTATGCAATTTACTGAAATTAGTTGAGCATTTGGCTTGTGTGCATATGACATTCACCTTGAAGAATTTTCTGTTATAGTTCTAGTAGCAAATTGAGATAGGGAATGGTATTTTTCACACAAAACATATTCTGTGAACTATATAACACTGATGTCTCTGTCTTCAGACTAGCTTCTTGACCCTTGAAGCCAACTCTTAAGTTCAGTTGAGGAAAGTTTTAAAAAAACCAAAACCACCAAACAAGGAGAAATCCATCAACAGAAAGGAGTAAGACCCCCAGCAGTGAGCTGGTTTGAGCTGAGCAGGTACGGTACTCTACCAGCATCACCGCTGCCTAAAACCTCCTTTGAAGAACAGAGCCTAAAGAGGGTTTTGTTCTTCAATTTGCTGAATTCTGATGAGTGCACATGTTAACACATTTTTCTGAAGTTTCTTCTTGTAATATCTGGTTGGGCAACGTGAACCAAAGCAGAGCACAGGTTTTTCTGTGGTCTGGTAAGTGAATGACTGATTTAAATCAAGTTCCAGTCTACCACATTCCTAACAAGGCTCTTCGTGCTCTTGAGAAATCTGCATTATTTATTAGTAACTCCTACTTCAGCTTTTACTGCTTCTGTGTCCCTCTTGCTCTCATGTGAGCATAAATGCTGCATGTTTACTCAAACACTCATTGTTCTAAAGCTTCAAAACCTTGCCCGAATTCGCAGAAGGCCGAGCCGCGGGTGTTGTGCCGGGCCGGGAGCCGCCAGGGGGCAGCGCTCGCCCCGTGCGGCTGCAGAGGTGCGGCCGCCGGGCCCTGGCCGTCCTGCGGGGGGGACGCCGCCAGGCTGAGCCGGGACGGGAATTCGCAATTCATTTATTCCCTTGTGCAAGGCCATTCTCTGAAAATACCCACAGATACAATTCTTCGTCTGCTTACAAATCTTTACATTCTTTTTCCTGAAGGATAGGAGAATATCCTGAGTTGGAAGGGACCTACGAGCATCATAGAGCCCAACAATCACATCCCATGTACCTGAGAGCATTGTCCGAACGCTCCTTCAACTCTGGTCACTCTGTAACCACTTCCCTGGGGAGCCTGCTCAGTGCCCAACCACCCCTTTTTCTAATATCTGCCCTAAACCTCCCTGACACAGCATCAGGCCATTCCCTCAGGTCCTGTCACCGGTCCCCACAGAGCAGAGATCAGTGCCTGCCCCTCCTCTTTCCCCCACAAGGAAGCTGTAACTGCTGTGAGGTCTCCCTTCAGTCTCCTCCAGGCTGAGCAGACCAAGTGCTCTGAGCTGTTCCTCATATGATTTCCCTTCACAGTCCTTCACCATCTTTGTAGCCCTGCTTTGGATGCTCTCATAGCTTTATGGCAGGGTATGTCCAGTTTCCCCAAGTGACTAGATGCAAATTTAAATAAGATACAACACTTTTTGCACATTTGAAATGTATATTTGGGCTCAGTATAATCTTCCCCTTTGCCAGAGGCTGGGGTAGAAGCATGCCCTGACTAAATTACTGATTTGACTTCTGTCTCCACTAAAAGTACCACATCAAAGCTCAAATAAGGCTGCACTCTACATAATTTTATTAGCTGTGATAAACCAAAGACAAATATAGAAATTTAACTTTTTAATCCTTTTAAATGTTTTTTTTTCAAATAACTGTGTGCTTTCTCAAGTCTTATTTTACCATTTGTTCATTCATGAACCATGGAGACTCAAATTTAGCGTGAAATAGAAATCAATGGTTACCATTCCTAAAACATTTTTTTGCCATTTTTGTCATAGCAGTTTAAATGGAGCAATTTGTGTAGTTTAAGTAGTAGTTTTAAAATCCATAAAGAGCTTCCTGTAAATTAAATTTGTGTGTTAATGCAATTTGCACTTCAAATGCATTTTCAAATTGATATGTTTTCCAGCTGAGCTGATGAGTTCATCAATTCAAATTGTAGCACTTAGAATGGTTGGCTTGTGCAAGAGTCTTGAAAACACTTCTTCATCAACTAAAGCCTTAATTGAACTGCTTCCACAAAGATATATTAATTCGCAGTTACTTGTGAGACACATATATATACGTATATGTGTGTGTGTATATATATATGTGCGTGTGTGTGTGTTTATATGTATGAGTTCAGCTGCTGCTCCTAAATTGCTTGCCTTGAGCATCTCTGATGTGGTGCAGTGTTCAAGATTTTATTTCCAAGACATTTTTAAATGAAGATGGGATTTTGCCAATTCCATTCACTCTCCTTTTAACAATACAGTTTAGAGAATTCACAGAGCCAAAGACTTGGAGAGTTTTTTCAATGAGCTGCACAACACAAGCCAAAGCCATGGGCAGGTTGCAGAGTGGGAATACTCCAGCATTTGCTTAGTTTCAGGATGGCTGTGACAGTTCTTTCCCAAGTCATCCCTGAGGTTGGCTGTATCAAGTGCGAGACTGGGGCGTTGCGTGATTCACTTCTGCTTGGCTGATGGATGTTCCCTTAGGGACTGAAGTCAGCCAGGAAAAAATACAGTTCAGGTTTAAATAGGACTGTGGCTTGAGCTGATACAGACATGCTCTGAGGAGAAGAGAACCAATTGGGTCTTTGACATTCCCTAACTTTTGCTGTATCCTGCACACAGTCCTGACAGTAATGTCTCCCCTAGGGGAAGGGATGAAGTATGCATTTTGGCTGTGTTCTTTATGTAGAATAAAACTTCCCTAAATTCAAATTGTAGGCTAAAAGACTGTGGTTCTATCTCTCTTGAAAAATTTTAAATCTCAAGCAATACTTCAGGGATGCCATAATTTCCTCCTATTGCCTTCCCCATCAGCAGTCAAATGTTCTTATTGTTGTTTGTTTTATTGCTGCTACAATTATTCTGAATGCTGTCAGAGAAGTTTTGTAAAACTAAGGTATGTAGCCTTTTTCTGAAGGGATTGATTTGGTGTGGATAGAGAAAGGACAGAAAACCTGAGGTGCATTAATGATGAGACACAGTTCTGTCTATTGTGGAGCTCTACTGACTTGAGCCCCCCTTAAAACTGATTTTTATAAACTGCTGTTGCTGTTATATTTCCTCTAAATTCTGTTTCTTTCTTTGTAAGGAAGTGTTTAAGAGAAGACTGGACATGACAGTTACTGCCATGGCCTAGCTGACATGGTGATATTCAGTAAAAGGTTGGAGTCTATGATCTCAAGAGGTCTTTTCCAATCTGTTATTCTGGGAATCTGTAACAATTCTTGATAAAGATGTCTGAAAGATAGAAATAAAATGCAATAATCTGCCATAATTATAGCACATTGAATTGAGCCTTTCCCACTGACCTTAATTTTGATAACTTACAGAGCCATTTGGAGTATTTTAATCCTCTTCTTTAAACATTGTAAGAGGAACCTAAAAGATTAAGTCTATGGCAGTTGAGCTCAAAAGCATATATTTGGACATAACATTTGGCATACTTTTATGTCTTTTAATTATTAGAAATATGAGTATACTTTTTTAATAGTCAGTAGTTTAAAGCCTTATTTAGTAAACCTGTATTTATTGTTACATATATGAGAATTATTTCAATAGCACTAAAATATCTGATGTGATATTTAACTTAGTAATATAGCACTTTTTTCCAGCTGTGGAAAATCTCGATTACACTAACCTCTGTATCCAGTTCCACTGTGGCCTTTAGTACATTAGTTAATGATCACAGTGCCCTGAGTAACCTAACTCACTGTATTCACTTAATACTGCTTTGTCACCTTTCCTCAGACGACCACTATTGCTTTCTCTACATTGGACAATCCTCTTTGTCCAGAAACTTCAGCAAATTCTCACTTCACAGACCATGAGGTCAAACACTGCCAGGTGGAAAAGGAAACACAGTTCAGTCCTGGCCGACAACCTTTGTTAACCAAGCAGTGATACTCTAGTAACTCTTTTGCTCAAATCCATAATGGGCAGACTTTCCACCACAAACCCCCAGTATCTCACTGTACATAACAATAGTGAAGTGTGGATGAGTGCTGTATAAGGCCTCCTTCCTCCCAGTAAAATTAAAGAAAGCTTGAGTCAGATCCCACTGTGATTTGTTAAGCTTCTCCAGTTCAGCATAGTCTGTTCTTTCCCTCTGCTGATGATTATCAGGCCCAGCAGAAGGAAATGTTCGCCCACCCTCATAGCTGGGCACGAAGCAGAGCGTCATTGATGAAACTGCTGAGAAGATGGGTGTGAGCCAAGGCACCAGACTCGGAGCTGCAGTTGGTGAGGATATGAACACTTCTTCCATTCTGCTCATTCTGCCACAGTGAACACAATCTCCATCAGAAGGATGGGATATAACAGATGGAGCTATAACTTAAACCACTTTGTAACAGTTCCTAAAGCTCATCTGTCAAGGATGGTGCCAGACTGCTTGTGCAGTGTTAGTAAAAGAAATTTATGTATGAACATACAATGTGAAATAGGCCTGCTGAGGAGCTAAAGCTGTGTAGCCTATAGTGTTTATCTTGCATTAATCAAGTTGTAATGTATTTACTTAGCACTATTTTTGTTTTCACTTGCTGGCAAAATCCCCACAAATGTTTTATTCTACCTTACAGCAGTTAAAAAGGTGAGAAATGTGTAACTGAAATAATTTACTAATTGTGTAATTTCATGGCTTATCACACAATAAACCATAGGGGGTTTTCAGAGGATCACAATAATCCAAGGTAAGACACAGGTCAGATCAGTTTCTAGAGTTACTAGCTTTAATAAAGCTATCTATGACACTTCAACACAGGTATTTTCAGCTGAGATTCAGAACACTGGCAAGTCTGTAAGATGTGGGGTGTCCCCTATCCCCCCATTCTGCATTTTACCGTTCTTAGTGGTATCTGAAGAATATGCTGCTCACAGCTACGCTGATGGTCATGGAAATTGCAGGTACCTCATTTCTGGAAATCTTGATGCTTTTGCAGCCTTAGGGAACTGTATTTTCTTGCCATAGGATAACAGAGAGGTCAGAAGGCTTTGTGATCTTTGGCCAGAAGACTGTAGAATAATAGAATGAACTGGGGAAAAAAATGCACTGAAAGCATCTGGGAGTTCTTGTGCATACTAGACAATATATTCTATACTAATTTTCTGTGGCTAAGTTTACTGTTACTGAGGCCTAGAAGTAGCCAAATAAAACAGCAGGGAGGCCTTTTCTATGTTTTTTGTCTCCATTTCTCACTAACATTTTTACATTTGCTCACTCCCTCTTCCAATGGAAGCAGGGGGGAAAGTACCGAGTACAGCACTGACATGAAGAAAAGTACTGAAGGAGGCAGCATGGAGGCCATGGTTTCAGCCACTCCCTCCTTTGCCCAGGAGAATTTCAATGACCTCTTGACACCTCCCATGGGACACTTTAAATTGACAAGGGTATTTGCCAAGTAAATACAAAAAATGGCATTAAAATAGTATTGCTTCTGACTTAAACCTCCTAAAGTCAATGCAAGTGAGTTAAGGTTCCCAGAGCAGCTATAATGCACTAACCTCAATCTTGATGGCTGGGTATGTGAATGTGTATCAGGACTGATTAAAAAACTCTTCCAGGCACTCACTAATAGTCACTGGGGAAACTGAAAATAACAATGCCAAAAATTAAGTTACAACTTATTCTTGTGCTGGTATATTGGTTAAAACTAATACATTTCATGGTTTGCAACACTACCTAGAGTCAAAACATTAATTTGTCCTATCAAAACAAAGGGGAAGACATTTCATGTTCATTATAAGCTGATTGGTTATTCTGCAGTGTTTTTGCTGGGGTAAGCTACTCAAGAATGATTGTTGTGACTCTTGGAAAATACTCTGGCTTTATTATAAGCCAGATGCCACTTTTTCCTCTGAAATCTGAAATAGAGAGACATGAGAGTATGTTGTACCTCAAGTGTCTCCGTATCATACTCCCCAACACCCAGAGAATGCATTTGCTGCCCAGTAACACTTGCTGATCATTATTAACTCTGATCCTGCTTGTTAATAGTAGGATTAATAGTAGGATTAATTCTAGTCCAGGAGACAGGTTGCTAAACTGGAGATCTGTAGTTTAGTACTTGGAATTGTTCCTTTGCTTCCTCCCCAGCATATTTTTTAATTGAGCCTGTAGAGATAAATACATCTGTGCCAATCCTTGCCTCATTTACCTTACCTTCTCTAATCTTTCCAGTCTTTTTTGCCACAAGTTGCCAAGTCTTCCATGTATGAGGTAACTGTGCCTTCATGTTCTCCATGCCTGTCATATAGAAGAGGATCAGCACAATAAATCCCATAAATAAGAATGCTTCCAGGAGACAATACCAGAAAAAATGCTCACCAATATGAACTAGTATGCAGTGAAAGACCTAGTACATGCCATTTGCTGACAGTTCTTTAGAGCACAGCTGCCTCAGCTATATGTAAAGACTATGATGTGGATTAAAAAGACATCAGTTTTTTAGCACAGGTGTGACCTTAGAGAAGAATTCTGGTAGAACTGCATTAGCAGTTTGCAGGTTTTTGGCACACTTACCCATTGTCAGTGCTCCAATCCATCCACACACAGGGTTGCTGGTTGCATTTTCTGGGACACGTGGGAAAACATTACTTGAAAATGAATTTGACTATAGTTCATATAAAGTGTCTTTTTAAGAGGTATTTAAGGGCTGATTCTTAGCTGGGGGATGGAATCCAGCTGCCTGTTTTCTTTGGCCCCAAGAGCCAGTTTCATGTGATTTACATTTTCAAAGCTGACTTCACAATGAAAGAGCTTGAGGCTTGGTTTTGAGGCATGACGTGGTTTTTTTGGGATTGGAGTTTCTTTTGGTGGTGGGGGCATGCTAGTGAGTAAATATTTTACAGCCCACATTCCTAGTTCTACAAAATCAGTGACTCCAGGCTGTGAGACAATATAAGTAAGCACAAAGGCTGGAATTTATTGCTAGTAATGATCTATGAGATAAGATTTTTCAGCTAAGCCAGTGCAGAGTTCTCTTGCCAGATGTGTGGGAGTGAAAGTGACACAAATCTTAAAAAAAAAAAAAGATAAATCTTTGGCAATCCCAGAGTGATTTTATAGCCTTGTAGCACTAGCAGCCTCAGAGAATTCATTTTGTGTCTCAATGTCCTTATTGACTTAGAAGCCAAGTCTCAAGCTTTATGAAAGGAATCCAAAGTAGTGCCATGAATACTCCATAAATTTATCTCACTTCCTTAATCTTATTTTGAACAAAGATAGTTTGGGGTCCTTTTTCCTACACTTCTCTGTTTATAAAGAACTGTGGTAGCAGAATGATAGTGATTCTGCAAAAAAATCACTAGGGAACTTGTCCCATTATTCCCTTACTTTCATCCCAATGTAATTAAAAACTTTCCTTCATAGTCAAGCTACATCATAAATCCTTGGTTTTTGCTTCCAAGATATCACAGACAAAAGCATGGTACATGTCTGGTACACAGATCACATCCAAACCTCTGCCTACATCCTTTCACAAGTGTACCAGAAAATGCAGAGAACCAAAGCTGAAAAGGACCTTCTGAACCTTTCAGACAGCCAAGAGGCCTAATTTGTGCTAATGGGCTGCAACTTTCCTTGGAGCTGAGGGTACATTCCAAAAAGGGACACTAAAGTCAAAGAAAATGCTTTCCCTTGGTATAAGGATACTGCTTTGACTAGTTTGGAATTAAAATGGTTGTGCACTTTAAATGCTGTAACATATTTAAATTTTTTATATCCTAGTACACAAACTCTTACACAATCTATCTCATCGCTTATGTATGACACCGCAGCAGAACTGTTCAAGTGTGGCAGAGATGTTTGAAAAGTAAACATGCTGATAATCCTACTTGCCTGTCACATAGTTCTGCCCAGCAGGCACTTTTTGTAAGAAAACGCTATTTTAGGGAAATAAATCTCTCTGAAAAAAAGCTAGCTGTGCATGCTTTTAAGAGCTAACATGACAACTTTTTTTTTTTTTTTTTTTTTTTTTTGCAAACTATCAAACTGTTGCAGCACTTGAAATTCTAAAATAGCTTAGAATTTAAGCTTCTTGTAGATTTTGCTATAAAAACACATGAATTTAATGAAATTCATGAATCCATGAATCATGAATCCATGTGACATGGAGAGATATCACATATTTATCCTGGAGCATCTTACCAGTCCCTGCTCCTAGGTCTGAGAGTGAAACAGTTACAGACTCTCCTGGGACAAAATCCAAACCAACTCTCTCTGCAGAAGAGATGCAGGTGAAGAGATTATGGTACTGTTCAACAGATTGCCTGATTTGGACAGTAGGAGGAACTGCAGGACTCATCATAAAACGACAGGAACCACACTACAGATACATTATTGCTACACATTTGTCACACTTTAGCTTTCACAAAAGCAAAAGTGGTTTTAAAGAGTTAAGCCTCTGTAAATGCACTTCCAATATCTTCTCTTGGAATAAGACACTCAGGATAAGGTGTTTCCTAAGGCCTGCAGAAAGTTCTGAATTTTCATTATGTTGTCATGCAGTTACCCAAAGGAGAAATAAAATCCTCTACATCACCTTGTAGTAGAGTCTGTGCTCTGAGTGGACATGAAAATTTCTCATCTAGAAAGACTGAAAAGAATGCTTAATATGCTGTAAGGATTTATTTGGTGAGAAAGTGTGAATAGATCTGAGGTTCCACCCTGTTACTGACTGGAGGCACCCCAAGGCTTTGGCCATGGATGTTTGAACTTGAAGGGTTAATTTGATTGAAGGACCCCTCTAGATAAAATAGCACAGTATTGTGAATTCTTCCCTGGATGTGAAACTCACTGACTAGCTTTGTCATCTCACAGGACTTTAGAGAGTGAAGCTGTAGTGTATTTCTAGAAGTACAAAGTATAAAAAAAGGCAGAATCTAGGAATTGCAGACCTGACATGACGGATCATCTCCTAAAACCCAAAACCTGCTTCTCTCTGCAGCCCAGATGCAAAAGTGCCACTGAATCTCCTCAGCAATTCTTTCTCCTATCTAAAATTGCAAATTTTAATATTTTTTAATTTTTTTTTTGTCAAAAAATACATGTGCCAAGTATCCAGTCTCCAGACATTTGATTTCTTTCAGACACTTTGGTAATGAGGTGTGGTAATGAAGACTAAGTAAACTTTGATGAATGTTGAATATCCTCCTCGATATTTTTGCATATTTAAAAAGAATTATTTGGGCCTTGCAACTCATCTCATCTGTGTGTTTGAACACATTTGGGTGTCCAAACCTCCAAACACTTGTCACAGTGTTCCTCAAAGATAAAACTGGACTTTAGTTATTCTAGCTCACTATCACTGGAAGTGGTTTATTACAGTTCTGCCTCATCTCAGTCTAGAGTCAGTAACATGATAATATTAATTCAATATTTATATGTTTAGTGGTTTACTGTTCATATGAAAGAGCTTTACCCTGTGACTGGAATGCAGCCCTTGCAAGTGGGGAAAGTACTAATAGCTTTTTAATAGCTTACGATTTGCTAACAATATAGCAAACTATTAAAACAGCATGTAAGCATTCCAAAATGTCTAGGGCAGTCAATAATTCTAACACTACATTCTGAATCACTTACAAATCTGTGGGACACCAGACCTTAATGGGGCTGGGAGATACCAAGAGCAGAACTGAACACATAATCTGGTATGCTCTGTCCCCACCAGAATCTCCCCTGTGGAGAGAGTGCTAATTCCAGAGGGGCAAAGAAGTGTTGGAATCAATTCTGCAGCCTCACAGATTGGGTCTGTAGTTTTTCAGCTGATTGCAAGGAAGGGAAAAGATATTCTGATTTTGGAATAAACTTATTAAGAATGTATCCTAACATTTCTGCTCCTCTTCTAAAATCTTCACAGTTGTACCATCTGGCTTGATTTCTTCAAATATGCATTCTCCTTTGTTTTTCCTTTAACCTAATTTGTAGTAAGGGCAAATTCAAGCTTACTGGTTAATGAGACACAGGCACAATGTTCCCATTAGCATAATGAACATTTAAATCAAGTCCTTGACCAACTACATAGCCCAACACCTTATTGCATTTCTACAAGGTACAGCACTGAATGATGCAGCTAGGTTATGGGGATCATAAGCACCCACAAACCCAGCATTTTCCTGTGACTAACCTGGTGGGAATGTCCTGTAACAAGAAGCTCACCCAAATACTGAGTAGTTGTAACATGTTTATTTTTTAATGCCACAGACACTTTTTGTATTGCACATTTCCTCCCTGTGGCTCAAATTAAGTTATTGCAATAGCAGCCATATGTACAAAGTTACAATGCCAGGTTCACCTTATCAGGGAGAACTGCTTTGCAACATGAATGCACAAATGATACTGTTCGCCAGAAAGCTGGAGGCCCAGAACACAGCATAAAAAATGTGCTATTGGTACATTTGGCCTTCTAGTTTTTCAACTCATTTCTCCCAACTCCTCACAAATACCAAAACAGCAGAGATTCTTCTGGCAGGATGCAAAAGCTTTAGAAGTACGTTTGTCATTGATGTAGTTAAAACTAGTTCCCAACCCAGAAAGTGCATTAAGGATAGCCCAAAACTCAGTTTGCCAGCGAATCAACTGGACAAGTATCAACCATGCTTAGGTCCTTGCTGCTAGAATTGTTGCCAACAGTAACTGAGCTAGATAATTTAAAGCTGTTACTAACTGAAAAGAAACAAAAACAAAAAACAAAAAACCAAGACAGCAAAGCATAAACAAATGGTAACCCCCCTTACCTCCCTGAAGAACTTGAAAACAAAACCACTAACAAACTACAATAAAATAAATCAGCTCTTTGATGGAAAAGGAATGAAGACATCGAAGAACATCTTTGCTCATTTCCACTGGAGACTGACGGAAGCTGCCCATGGGCAGCCCTTCATGATGTGCTGTACTTGCCAATGTAAAGCCAGCAAGATCAGTGTGGCCATCAGCAGCAAACTTTCACTAAAGGGATGGCAGTGGGAATTTTGCATGGCCTTTGAAAGGCGATGGCCACCATATCTCCAGGGGTCATTTTACAAAGAAATAAGATTAACCTTTTTAGTCTGTGCCTGAGATCTAAACTGCACGGGAAAGACAGGCTAATGTGGACATTACAAATGAAAAAACATGATCTTTTCTGACTAAATTAACAAAAAAAAAAAAAAAGCTTTAAAAATATTTTAGTACAAAAATGTAGCTCAAAACAAAAAGATGCTTATGAACCTACAAATTAAATTATTCAGACTATGACTGTCACAAGACACTGTTGCGTTCTCTTTCTGATAGGACTTAACACATCTTTTCCATGAGTCTTATTATGTGAGCCTTTTGCAGTTATCTGAAGACTTTCAGGATGGAATTCACAAATAAATTAATTATGCCTTCATATGTTTATTCTTGCAGGCCTGCATTTCTCTACATGGCACTCAGTTTTGTTTTATTACTCTAAATATATATAGTGCTAACATGACTTTTTCAGGCACATGGATTATCCCTACTGTCAAGGGTAACAATCTTCAGGGACATTTTGTAGGATTAGAAGGAAGACTGGATATGGTATTGTTCTGTAGTGTGTTAGTGTATTTAGGGCATTAGTTGCCAAATGTCTTTAAGATTTGCATGTTGAAAACTGTGCAATTCTGAAATATACCATATAACTTATCCATTAAATTTCCTAAGAAACTAGATGCAGATAACTATAGAGTGCATCTTCTAGCCCCTCTTCCCAATAATTCACTGGCAAAACCTGATGGAATATCTGGAAAGAGTTTAAGATTCTAGAGGTTTCATAGAAAACAGTGGTCATATAAAAATTAATCTAATATTGAATGTCCCTCATACAGCAAAGGGTGCAGCAGATGTTGTTCTCTCTTCTTGTAAGCTGCCAACTTATCAATTAACCAGTGCTGGTCAAAGCCAGGAACAGTATAGATTATCTCACATTTTAAAGACAGAGGAAAACTAAGGGTACTTGGAAATGTGCCAGAAACAGGAATTAATGCAGTAAGGGTCAGTTAAAATAGAAAGTGTGACCGTTTCAGCAGAGTGGGCTGAAGACATGGGGAGAGGCTTTAGGCTGTTCAGCCCAGAGAGGAAAAAGAAGGTATTGGTGAAAGAGGAGTGCAGAGACCACAGTGGGTTTGCTGCACTAAGGATGCAGACACAGAAAAAAGGAAAGAAAATGGTGTCACCAGTTCTTTCTGCTACTGACATTGTCTCTTGCTGTTCTTCCTATTGTCCTTTGCTTCTTCCTTTACTCAACAGCTTCCAGGTGACAAGAAACAACATACTCTGGAGGAAAAAAAAAGTGCCTGAAACCCAGTGACAAAAGTACAATTCATTACACCAAAAATGTGTAAAATGCAAACAAATATTATTAGACATTATAATTGTAGAAATCTAGGTGATTGAGTAACTGGAGGGCCTCATCTTTCAGATCTGTGTTTTTAAGAGATTTCTGCCCTTTTCATCATGTACTCAGTAAAAGTTGTGTAAGAAACTAATGAACTGTGCATAAGGATGGGACAATTTCAAGAAATGAGGCCTCCTCATGTAAAGATGTCTGAAGAGTGCAATTCCCTGCTTACAGTTGGTAGCAAGAAAGAATAAATTCTTCAGTGTATCAGCAATTCTGTTCCTCTCAGTGCTGCACCAGAGTATTCCAGGCTGAGTCAAACACTTCATGCGTAAGAGGGCAGTGGCAGACATCGGCACACACCCACACATTTTTTACATGGATGATAATTGTTTGAAAATTAACTACAGCTACTGCTCAGGAAGTAACATATTTACTTGATACTCTTAAGAGTGTTTACTGCTTTGGTTTGTATTCCACAATGTGTTTAGTATTTTACAGACTTTACATAAAACAAAGACCAGCCCTGATAAAGGGGCAATCTTTTTATCCTGCTTCCCTGAACTTTCATCTTGCTTCCCTGGTGCACCACTTGTGTTGTAAATTCCTTTACTATTTTAATAGATATTTTACATTCCTTAGGCAGCAAACTAAGTTTAAACAACAGTAATTGCCTTGCTTACAAAACTATGCTAGAAAGGCTGGCAAATTATGAGGTCTTTTGAAGAAGCTAAGTCCAAAAGTGAAATCCAATTGTGAGATGAGACTTTGTTTAGATTCAACAAGTCTCTGTTTCAAATGTGCTGATTATTCTTTTTTCTGTAGTGACAGCACTGACATGGCAAGATAGAGGAATACTATGAGACACAGGAATATTCTTATGTATCAGATGTTTATACCCTTCTATTTATGTTACAATACTCCCTGGAAAGCACAGACATAGACCAGAAACCCATCTGTATCAGTTTTCCTAAACTCCAGAATTCATGGGGGAGGAAACCTTATTTCTTAATGAACTGTACATATTTAGCAGCTTCAATATTTCCACTACTACAACTGAAAAATAAAATAAAATATTAGAGATGAAGTGTGATGAGTACCTACTTGGAAATCCTAATAATCAGAGAATATCATTACCATTGGAAACAATCGAGTTAGCATATCCAGGAAGTAAGACAGAAAAGACTGTCACACTATCAGCTTATCCAAACCTACACAATCCATGCGTGAAAAAGGAAAAGAAAAAAAAAAAAAGCAGCAGCGTTTTTACATATACACACAGAATTCAAGTAAGGATGACTGCAAATTTAAAGTTATAGAATATCCTGAATTGAAAGGGACCCACAAGGATCATCAAGTTCAGCTCCTGACCCTGCACGGGACAGCCCCAAGAACCACAGCACATGCCTGAGAGCCTTATCCAAATGCTTCTTGAGCTCTGTCAGTCTTTTGCTGTGACAACTTCCCTGGGAACCCTGTTCCAATGCCCAACCACCCTCTGGGTGAAGAAATTTTCTCTAATATCCAACCTAAACCTCCCCTGACAGTTTCATACCATTTCTTAGGGTCAACTTGAAAGCTAGAGCTACACACAAACTTTTGGATTGCTTTCTTTTTTGAGTTGCAGTTGGCATGATACCTGGAACTTAAACATTCATCTACTTTTTCATCACCCATAGACAAGGGGTCGCATTTCATTTAAAAACAACAGGTTTTAACTTCTTTTTGATTTATGCTAATTTGTATGTATCTTAGGGTTTACTTCCTCCTTCATTCCCACAGTCTTGCAGAGAAGTATCTCACACAAAACACCCCACAAGCTAGTGCATCATATCCTGAATACAGAGGTGTGTGGTTGTGTGTGTGGGGGGAGTGTGTGAAGAGAGGCACTCAGCAATTTTCTGGCATCATTTATTTAATTAAGCAGTCCTATCACAAAACCGTCTAGTTTGGAACAGACCTTCAAGATCAGCGAGTCCAAGTGTTAATCCAGCGCTGCCAAGTCCAGCACTGACCATGCCCATGACCTCACCACAAGCGTGCTGCAAGGGCCCGAGGGAGCA